GCTTAAGAAATCTAGAGGCTATATTTGGATTATGGATTCGGGTAGGATTTGAAAAGAGAAAGAGAAAAAATAGGTGAAATATGGTTATATTTAATTCACATTTCACCCATCTGTTCTCTTTCTTTTTCCAAATCTCTACCCAAATCCATGATCCAAACACAACCTAAGAGAATTATCAAGTCATATGTAAAGTTTTACGACTCTAAGATAAGGATATGTATAGACTAGTTTTGTACGAAGAAAGAAACATCTAATATATGAACGACTTTTTTTGTTTTGTTTGGTGTGTTTACTCCTAGGGGTGTTTCTTTTATAAGTTATATAGATGGGGTTATATGCATGCAATTATGTATTACTTTAGTATGCCATTTTCATGGGTTGTAGTGGTAACTATTTAACTTCAAGCATTGAAGCTTACTGTATTATTGTCTTACAAATGGATTATAGTAGTAATTATTACTTCTGTTGAATCATTAATTATTATTAGTCCAAATGGAAGTTTTGGCCATTGTGTCTCGAATTTAATGTGGATTATTTTATAATCATCCTAAATTATTACTTCCGTTAAGTAATTAATTGCTTGTTCCAAGTGGTAGTTTCGGCTGTTGTTCTTGAATCTAATATAGATTAATATGGTTACAATCATCCTAAATTATGGCTTCCGTTAAGTCATTAATTTAAAGAGCAATGGAGTTCTTGATATTATTCACTTTTTTTCACTCTAAAATACAGAGATGGTCTATGTATATATAACAAGAGATAATGACCATAACTACCTAACCAACAATTAACTACTTGTGGTTAAGGCCTAACAAACTAACTACCTTCCTAACAAACTAACTACCTCAAGGATACTCTAGAATGCACTGATATAAGCTGAAGCCTTCTGTGCTGAACCCTTTAGGCATAAGTATATTCAGAAACTAACAGGTTTAGAACAGTATTAGAACTATTTTCCCTCTATTACTAATGATCTTTATGAAGATCAAAGTGAGTCAAAATTGCAAAATTATTTTGAAACGTGTCTAGTCTAGACTTGACCTTAACATATTAATTTAGTCATTTAGTTGTTTTTCTTTTGCTAAACCACTAACATCTATTTCTAGAAGCCACTAAATTTTGGAATGCTTTTATTGGTTGGCATATTGACTCATAAAGCATTTCTCAATGTGTTTAGTACGAGCGTGAAACACTGGATTGTGACTCATAGCTATGGCAGATAAGTTGTCACACCATAGGGTAGGCACAGGAATAGAAATATGAAGTTCAGTAAGCAACATCTCAATCCAACTAAGTTCAGCGGAAGTTTGTGCTAAAGCCCTATATTCAGCTTCAGACGAAGATCTAGCCACAGTTGGTTGTTTCTTGGAAGACCAAGAGATAAGATTAGGACCAAGATAGACACAGAAACCAGTGGTGGACCTTCGATCAAGAACATTACCTGCCCAATCGGAGTCTGAATAAGCATTAAGAAGAAGAGGGCCAGCAGTGAAATGAAGCCCATAAGAGATGGTGCCTTTAAGATACCTGAGTAATCTTTTGACCGAGATAAAGTGACTAGTCATAGGAGAGTGCATGAACTGACAAAGATGATTAACCACAAAAGCTAAATCAGGTCTGGTAAGGGTAAGATATTGAAGAGCTCCGACCAAACTTCTGTACAAAGTTGGCTGAGAAAAGAGAGTATCATTTGCTGCAGTAAGAGAACTAGAAGTGGACTTAGTAGCCATGGGAGAAGAATAAGATTTGCAGTCACTCATACCAGCCTTGGCCAACAACTCTGAGGCATATTTTTGCTGAGAAAGAACATAACTAGAAGCAGTTTTGGTGACAGAAATACCCAAGAAATAATTGACAAGGCCAAGCTCTTTCATGGAAAAGGTTGTATGCATATGTGTAATGAGAGAGTTAATATAGAGAGGATCACTGCCTGTGAGAAGAATGTCATCTACATAGATGAGAAGAATGGTAATAGCAGTAGAAGTTTTCTTAATAAAAAGAGAAGAATCACACTGACTTTGAACAAATTTATGAGTGAGAAGAAAGTTGGAGAAGGTAGAGAACCAAGCTCGAGGAGCTTGCTTTAAACCATAGAGAGCCTTGTGTAACTTGCAAACAAGCTGAGATTTATTAGGCTGAACAAAACCTTGAGGTTGGACCATATACACTTCTTCGTCAAGAACACCATGGAGGAATGCATTAGATATGTCAAGTTGCTTAATGGACCACTCAAAATGTAGTGCAAGACATAACAGAATTCTGATAGTTGGTTGCTTAGCCACAGGGCTAAAAGTCTCATGATAGTCCACCCCTTCAGTTTGAAGAAAACCCTTGGCAACTAACCTTGCCTTATATTGAGCAATAGAACCATCTGAATTTTTCTTGATTCGATAAACCCATTTGCAGCCAATTGCTTGTTTTCCAGGTGGGAGATCAACTAAAGACCAAGTGCCTTGTGTTTGTAAAGCTTGAAATTCTTCAAGCATAGCAGTTTGCCAAACAAAGGAACAGGCTGCCTGTTGATAAGTTTGTGGTTCAGACTGAAGAGAGGAAGAAGAAGGACAAGCAAAGAAAGAAGAGTGAGGAAAAGTGGATTTGGATCTGGTAATCACGGGATGAGTATTGGAATTGAGACAAGGGAGATCAATAGAAATATTGGAAATAGGAATTTGATTAGATGGAACTGTGGATAGAAGAGGAATAGAAGAGGAAGAGACTATTTGAGCTTCTGAATGAGGTTCAGGAGCAGACGAAGAGACTGCTTGAGCTGAGGGCAGGTCAGTAGGAGGAAAGAAAATAGGTGGCTGAGCTGCTGACTGAGGGATAACAGCTGGTGGTGAACCTGGAAAAGAATGTGGAGCTTGCTGTGACTGAGCTGGTGACGGAGGAATGGCAGCTGTAGGCTGAGGTGCTGCAGTTGGTGAAGCTGGAAAGGGATGTGTATACGGAGATGCTGCAGTAGAAACATGTGATGGAAAAGAAGAACTGGACTGGTCTGAGGGAGACCAAAAGAAATTCAGCAAATGTGAGATGGAAGATGATGCAGAAACAGAAGGACGAGAAGACTGAAAAGGAAAACATAGTTCATCAAAGATCACATGTCTAGAGATATAGACCCTTCCTGTGGTAGGATCAAGGCACCTATAACCTTTAATAGAAGGTTGATAACCAAGAAATACACAAGGAATAGATTTGGGTTGAAGTTTATGAGATGTGTAAGGTTGAAGCCATGGATAGCATCTACATCCAAAGGATCTCAAGAAAGTGTAATCAGGTTTTTGTTTGAACAAAACTTCATACGGAGTGAGATTTTGAAGCTTGAGTGTGGGATGTCTGTTAACAAGAAAGACAGCAGTGGCAAGTGCATCAAACCAGTAAGCCAAAGGAAGAGAGGATTGATGCATAAGTGTCACAGTAGTCTCTATGAGATGCCTGTGTTTTCTTTCAGCAACACCATTTTGTGATGGTGTATGAGGACAAGTAAGTTAATGCTCAATTCCTTTTTGTTTGAGAAACAATTGAAATGGCTTACTCAAATATTCACCCCCATTGTCACTCCTTAATACTTGAAGATGAGTATGAAACTGATTCTCAACAAAACTTTTAAATTCAAGAAATTTGTCAAACACCCCACTTTTGTAATGAAGAGGAAAAACCCAAGTTTGCTAAAATCATCAATGAACAACACATAGTATTTACAACTAGAACTAGAAGCAGAAAATGGACCCCACACATCTGTGTGAATAAGGGCCAAAGATTTATTGACAGTGGAATTAGACAAAGAAAAAGGCAATCTATGACTTTTACTAACACAACAATGTTCACACAGACTGGTGATCTTGTTAGACAAAGTTGAAGACTTAGAACCTAAGTGATGATGAGCCATAATGTGCTGAAGCTTCTTGGAAGATGGATGACCAAGTCTTGAATGCCAATCAGCTGAAGTAGTAGAACATGAAAGACAGACTGATGAAGGAACAAAGGAACCAGCAGAGGATGAAGAAATGAGTGGATAAAGGCCATTGGTGTAGCAACCTTTATACAGAATATTCTGAGTATTCTTGTCCTGAACAAGAAAGAAATCTTTATCAAAAGTAATAGTACAATGATTATCCTTGGTTAACTGATGTACTGAGAGTAAATTGGAAGAAAGAGTAGGCACATGCAACAGGTTGGTAAAATGAAAAGGAAAAGAAGGAGTAGGAAGGAGTCCTTTACCAGTATGAGCAATGGGAAGAGTAGAACCATCACCAATAGCCACTTGATCTTGACCTTGATACGGTTGGTAAAGAGAGAGGTTACGTAAATCATTTGTCATGTGGCTAATGGCTCCAGAATCAAGAAACCAGTTGGTTTCAGATGAAGAAGGAGAAGAGATGGAGGGTGTATGAGCAAAGGCTACATAAGCTTGACTTTGACCTGGAAAGGATTTGAAGGATGAAGAGGAAGCTTGAGAACTCTGAAAAGCAGCATCCAATCTGTGCCAACAGTCTAGAGCAGTGTGGTTTGCCTTGCCACAGATTTGACAAATTAATGGGGCATTGACTGTGCTATTTACAGAGCTGGAGCTAGGTCCTGGATTGTGTGCAGAGCTATATCTGCTTTTCTGAAACTGATTTGATCCTCCTCTCTGATAGTGACTAGACATCTGACCATGAAACCTACCTCCATCCCCTCCTCTGAAAGGGCCTCTGCCCCTGTAATAGCCTTTCTGACTTCCTCCTCTAATTATGAGGGTAATCAATTACCTAATGAGTCTTCATTCTTAAATGCCAATATTCATAATAGGAAGCAAAGCATTAATTGTCATAATAAATTGGCAAAGATCATCAATCCAGCCAACCCATTATATATAACAGAGTTGGGTTCTGGCAGCAATTTCACAACTTTTAGGTTTTCAGGTTGTATCTTTGATTAACTGTCATTCACTTGATTGTGCATTAGTTTTAGTTGTTTTGGTTAGAGTTTAGAATTTGAATAATATTTTGTTTTGCTTTGATAGGTTGTTTAGGTTCATAGTCTTTCTTTGAAAATGAGTTCCAAAGAGACAGGAAGCAAGGCAAGAGGTGAGATGATGAAAATGCTTGGAAGCTTTGTTATTTGTTTACTTATTTGTGATTTCTTCTTGTTGCTTTTATGGTTGATTTTTTACCTTTCTTTCTTTTGTGATTTCTAGTTTAATTTTTCTGTGGATCAAGGGTTTTCTTTCTTTCTTCTTCTTCTTTTGGGATAATGATACAGTTAGAACATGAAAGTGGAATTTCAGTACTTAGTCTTGTGCTTGTTTTTTCAACAAAATGGTTCTACTTGTCTTCCAGATTAGAATTTCTGCCACACTAAACCCCAAATATATATATATATATATACATATGAAATGAAATTCTTCAAGAGCTTAAGAAATCTAAAGGCTGTATTTGGATCATGGATTTGGATAGGAATTTGAAAAGAGAAAGAGAAAAAATAGGTGAAATGTAGTTTTATTTAATCCAGATTTCACCCATCTATTCTCTTTCTTTTTTCCAAATCCCTACTCAAATCTATAATCCAAACACAAGCTAAGGTAATTATCAAGTCATATGTAAAGTTTTACGACTCTAAGATAAGTATATGTATAGACTAGTTTTGTACGAAGAAAGAAACATCTAATATATGAACGACTTTTTTTGTTTTGTTTGGTGTGTTTACTCCTAGGGGTGTTTCTTTTATAAGTTATATAGATGGGGTTATATGCATGCAATTATGTATTACTTTAGTATGCCATTTTCATGGGTTGTAGTGGTAACTATTTAACTTCAAGCATTGAAGCTTACTGTATTATTGTCTTACAAATGGATTATAGTAGTAATTATTACTTCTGTTGAATCATTAATTATTATTAGTCCAAATGGAAGTTTTGGCCATTGTGTCTCGAATTTAATGTGGATTATTTTATAATCATCCTAAATTATTACTTCCGTTAAGTAATTAATTGCTTGTTCCAAGTGGTAGTTTCGGCTGTTGTTCTTGAATCTAATATAGATTAATATGGTTACAATCATCCTAAATTATGGCTTCCGTTAAGTCATTAATTACTGGTTCCAAATGGTAGTTTTGGCTGTTTTTTCTTGAATCTAATGTAGATTAATATAGTTTTACAATCATCTTAACATATAACATAGATTGAATACATCAATCTGCTAAAGAGTAGAAACAAAAATTCCAATTTTCTAGTTAGCTGAAGAGTTCAAATGTCACTTCGATCTATCAAATCTTTAACTTCCGCCCCACCCAAGGAATTTTAGTGAACTTTATATTGTGCTGGAACAACCCTTTAGGCATAAGTATATTCAGAAACTAACAGGTTTAGAACAGTATAAGAACTATTTTCTCTCTATTACTAATGATCTTTATGAAGATCAAAGTGAGGCCTCGTTTGGGGACTTACTTTTTTAGCCAATTAGCCAAAAAGTTACTAAATTAGCCAAAAAGTCAACAATTCATACCAAAAAGTCAAAGATTCTCTTTTCTCTCTACTTTTTGCACATCTTTTCGTAATTAGCCAAAAAGTCATCCCAAACATACAAGTTTTTTTTACCTATCTTTTTAGCCAAATAGTCAAAAAGTTACTAAATTAGCCTGTTCCCAAGCAATACATTCACTGTGTAAACGTGTCTAAACGTGTCTAGTCTAGACTTGACCTTAACATATTAATTTAGTCATTTAGTTGTTTTCTTTTGCTAAACCACTAACATCTATTTCTAGAAGCCACTAAATTTTGGAATGCTTTTATTGGTTGGCATATTGACTCATAAAGCATTTCAATTATATAAGCACCCGTAGTAAAACAAAATAAGCCAGCTTTAACCTCTAGGTTCATACAAAAACTGATTTTGTAGGTTCTGCATTTCACGCTGTTATGTCACTTACCAACTGTCAATGGCGATTTTCTAATTAGCTAGACTCTCTGGTGTTTATGTCAAAAAAATCTTACCTGTTTTGGTCATAAACTGAAGGAAAATGATTGGTGGCCCTAAAAAATTTGCCCCTAATGCCCCTAATTTTCATTTTTGGAAACTGTTTTCTTTTTTTCTTTCTTTTTTCCTTTTTTTTTTTTTTTTTTTTTACCAAAAGTGGAATTTCGGGGCATTCGAGCCCCGAAATTTAGGGCCCTCAAGCAGCGCTGTAAACTGAATTGCAAGTTGAGCAACTTTTAGTGGACTAGGCTCTTTTTTAAGAAACATTAGGAGTGAAACTGAGCCTATAAGGCCATGTTTGTATGTGGGACAGGCTGTTGCTGCTAGTTTAATTCAATAATGGTTTAGTTTGCCCATGTTCATGTCATGTATGCTGCTTCTAATTTCTAATACAATTTTGTTAAGAAAAATGCTTGGGAGCACTAATTAGTGCTCCCACTAATTATGTGGTAGTGGGTCCCGCCATTAATGATGTGATGTTTTGGTCTTGGAGTTGTATTTTTTTTTATTTTTTTTTACTTTTTTAATGCATTAGTGCTATTAGTGGTTATATTTTTAGTGGGATGAATCATTATTGTTTTGTTAAAAGAGAATCCTATCGGTATAACTAAAGCTTAGCTCTTTTTGTAAGGTTTTACCTTTAGAAGTTAAGCATTGTGGAGAGAGAGCATGCAATAAAGCTCTAAAACCATTATGACTTTAGACTTATGCTTCTAAAAGGTTTGTATAGTGAATATTTCTGTAAAAACGTCCTAATTTTAACCATTATTTTTAGGAGCTCTAAAGTAGGGTTAGGACTTCATTAGGGCTCTACTAAATGATGAGGATTGGTGGCGGTTGCATGATTTCTTTTTTTGTTGTGTATTACTTGAGTTTTGACTCTGAACTGATAGTACCCAAGCAATACATTCACTGTGTAAGTTTCCATATGGACTTATCTCAAATCCTTTTCTCGCGACTAAACTTGCAAAACCTAGATGTGCATATTCGGTGGAGAAACAATATCCACCAATTCAGTGGCCATAAGCATGCTAAAATGTCATTGGTAAGTGTTTCCACTTATATATATATGTATGTATGTATGTATGTATATATCAAAGCCGTCATTTCTTACTTCGCACAAGATACTGAAAAAGGGAAACAAAGAAGGAAAAATGGGGAAAAAATCCAATATCATAAAATCTTCAAATTATTGTGTCTGTTATGGTTATGTGTGTTTGTTTGTTTTTAGAGACAACCAGTGTAAAAATGTTTTTGGTATCAACTATTTTCCAGATTCTTCTTGCCATTGTTAATAGTCACCCCGTTAATCCTGGTATAGAAAAATCTGATATTTGTTGTACAACCTCACAAAAAAATGTAAGTATTGTCACTAGTAGTTGATAAATGTGATAATACATTAAAGTTTGTTTATGATTACATAGATTCAAGTGCTAAAATTGCTGTTTTGAAAAGAATTGAACATTGTAAGTTATTTCCTATTGTTGTTGCCTGATATGGGCACGAATTCGAACAAATGAAGGATATATATGGCCTTAATACAAATGCAAATTATCATTTCCATTTCTCAACTAAACAGAAAAATGTTTCAGACCACCTTAACACCAATGATGACAATATGCTATGCGAACCGGTTGCTTTAAATGCTTAATTTGAAGCCTCTTTGTGCTTAGCCAGCAATGGTGTCTCATTATCCATGTATTGAACCCATTCCTAATCTGACTCTTGGAACAATTTTCTGCTTATGTTTCCTTTATATGAACTATGTTTTGAACTTTGTTTACTTGTAAATATGGGAAACAAAAATAAATTTTGTTCTAACGTTCAATGCTTTGAATCAACTGTCATTGCTATTGTTGCTGTTGTCGTTGTCGTTGTCATAATGACTAGCGCAACATACCAGCAAAATTGCTATTCACACTTGTAAATCTAATTGGCATGAATAGCCACCGTACTTGCAAGATTATTACTTAATTAAATCTGAAACTTGTAAGATGTATGCCATTAATTATTTACATAAATTATCAAATGTTATTATTATATTTCTTTAAGTAACTTCAATATACTATAATTTTTTAATTTCAATCTATTCTTTGATGAACAGAATATACTTCCATATCTAGCACTGCATCAAATGAAGGCTTTGGCGTTGAAAGTGAACTAGTTGAAATGCCTGCTAGTTGTGAGAGCGAAGTTAGTAAAGTGTTTTTCCTTTTTGCTAACTCAATATTTATGATAATAATGCATTGCTTTAGCAACCTAAATTAATTAGGAAGGTCTCTTTACTATTATGAAGGATAAACATGTTTTTTCTTTTCTTTCGATTTTTTCTTTTTATGAAGTAACAGTGATAAATTTGCAGGCTGATCATCAAAATAATTAGTGTCAAAAACTTTTCTTTTGCAGATTGCTAATGAAGAGATGGACAGAACTTTAAGATGCTTTGAACCTGTTCAGCTCCATCGAAGTGGTGAAGCACCAAGGTTAGATGAACTACATTGTTATACCTATCTGGTTGGTTTTCCTGTCTATCTTGAGTACTAAGCGTTGAACAGATTTAGCCCAATTTAATGTTTCACACTTTTTATTCTGCTTCTTGTAGCTGACTATCTTCATACCATTGAATAATTGATGATTTAACATGGTATTTTAACTTAAAAACCTCCAAAATTATAACAGTGTATAATGACCCGTGACACATATTCTAATTTTCTGCATACTATTGCTGGCATTATATGGCCCTAGCAGTAGGTGAAAATGCGATGTGTTTGCAATTTTAAATATATTTTTTGGTGATTTGATTAATGAGATGGTGGGTTGAATTTGATGACTGATTAACTGTTAGTATTTTCTGATGCAGTTAACTATACAAGTATTTTTGAGAAAAAAGGGGTTACAAACCTTCAAAACCTTCTGAGTTGTGTGCTTTATATAATAATATAGATATAATGTCTCATGACACGTATTGGTAGTTCATTTTGCACTTCCATCTCCATGCCCAGCAGGCGTGGGAATTCTGCTAGACCAGCTGCATCTAAGCCCTCCTCTTCCTAGAAAAGAAGACACCATGAACCGAAAAGGCCAACAACATATCTAAGAATGAGGGCTGACAATGCGCCACTTCCGCGGCGCCGGACCAACCGCTCATACAATGAACAAGAGGATGGCATTAAAACTTGTGCCTCGTCTAAGAAACCCAATACCAGTACTGCTGCTCCATTGTACAAAGAGCTGAAGAAGGATGATTACTACTGGTTCTAGTTGTCATAAATTGCACCACTAGGTTGGTTTCTTAATTGATTTTGCTTTTGCTTTTTTATGTTTCTGAAAAGTATTAGCCTATGTGATGTTATTTTAATATTATATACATATATAGGTTATTCCACATAACATGGTTGCTGGGAGTGGTGCAATGAAGAATGAGAACGAAATTCCTGCAGTTTGTCAAAGATCTCAGAAATGGTCTGGTTTTCTCAATATATATATATATATATTTATCATTTCTGCATTGCATTTCAACTACATTGTGTGTTTTGTGTTGACTGTGTTTGTTTAAGAAGTTTTATTTAGTTTGCTGAACTTATCAAAACCTGCAGTGTTTGTCAAATGTTTTATGTTACATGGTTTGTTGAGTTGTTTTATGGAGTATGCTAAACTTTATCAGAACCTGCATAGTTTGTTGAAGGTTTTTTATGTGACATTGTTTGGTAAGTTATATGACTGTTTACCTACTATTTCTCTTAAGCCATGATGCAAGTGAAAGTCGTGTGCACTCTTTATGTGTGGAAAAAGGATTGCAATTCGAGCCAATTAGGTTGGGCTAGAAGTATGTCCAAACTTGGTTTTATACCTAAGGGAATCTCCAGAAGATTGATCTCTAGCTTGAATTTGTTTGCCCTAGCATGAGTCCAAAGTTATTTTAGATAATTCGGATTAGGCTCAGATTATCCAAATTTAATATTAATTAAAAAAAATAGAAAATTGTTTTTGGTTCAAAATTAATGTATTGAAAATAAAAAATTTATATATTTTTTAAAATTTTATGTAGGACATAATAAGAGAATTAGTCTGAGTTATATAATAACATTGTAATATGATTTAATCTAATTGTGAGGAAATAATGTAGGTTTTATGTTTATTTTGCATAATTTATATCTGTTAATAATAGGATTCAAGTTGTGAGAGCCCTCAAGCTTTGTCCAAAACTATTGGGCTTACCTATTTAATAAAGGCTTCTAGAAGTTGATGTTGTGGGCCGTCTTTGGTATGGGATCAATTTGCCAGTTTTACCCCTACACATGGTTTTGAAAACTGGACCGGACCGACTGGTTTGACCGGTTGAATCATCAACCAGTCGGGATTTCGGTTCGGATAAATTTTCTAAACCGTTCGAAATTAAAAGTTGGCCTATTTAGAGAGAATTGGGAAAACTGGCGGTTGAACCGCCAAATTGGAAACGGTTCACTTGGTCAATGAGTTTGAAAATTTTGAACTTTTTTTTAATATTTTCTATATATTTTTTTTTTATATTTTTTTTCTTTCTTTCTTATTTTATATATATATATATATTATATAAGAAAATTTTAATTGGAAACTCTCTTTTAAGGGTCTCTTCTTGTGAAGAATCCCATTATATAAATTTATACTCCATTAAATTCTAACTAAATTTTTTTGGACCTTCAAGTCCCATTAAATTTTTAATAGTCGGAATTACCGTTCAAATAATGATGGTTCATTATTTATGATTATCTATAAAGGAATATGATAATTTGACATTTATTTTGATTTTCAAAACTTTAAAATATCAACTCTTAAAATGAATTTTTTGTCCCTACACACACGTGCCAAAAAAAAAAAGAAAAAAGAAACTGACAATGTTTTGGGGAAATTTTTTTTTTTTTTTTATTTTGAAAATTAACAAGTTATTTGATATATTGTTTTTATTTTTAAAAAAGTGAAATTGATTTCAAAATTTTTTGGCTTCGTTTGATTTGTATTTTAGAAAAAAATATTCAGAATTTTTTTTTTAGATTTGAAAACTAGTTTGATAAAAATAAATATCAAAAATATACTTTAACATTTTTTAAAATTATTTTTGACAAAAGATAAAATTATATAAAAATAGTAAGTATTTTTTTATTTTTTTATTTATTTCAACATATTAATTTTAAATATTAAAAAAATTGAAATAAGTTTTTGAAAATTAAAACTTTAAATTTTTAAAATTTAAAAAAATTATATTTTCACTTATTTTCAAAATAATTTTTTACTCTCTCTTCCCTCAGCATCCATCACTGCCATTAACCACTGCCGACCAAGTCCAATTGCCTACCTCCAACAATACTTGGCCACCAACCCTAATAGGCCACTTCTGACCACCTCCTTTGCAACTCACGAAATATATATTTTTTAATATATATGTTCATAAATTTTTTTTTTTTTAGTAAATAAATAAGAATCTAATAACGTTATCATATTGCACTTAATTGATTGAAAATGATTACATACATAAATACATTACTACAAAATTCATGTGAAAATGCTCTTATAGTTCAAAACACAAGGTTACACGCACAAATCAAACTCAAAATCAATAATTTATAAACAAATAGCATAGAAAGTATTAAGTACACATAATCTGATCACTTAATCGTATATAATTTTTCATATTTGGTGAGATCTATTAAATTTGTTGGTCTCATTGAGAGGTATATATCTATAATAAAATTTTATGCGCACAATAAACTGAATATTATAATGAGACGTACATCTTTTAATTTAAAAATTTATCAGCCTTACTTTCAGAATAATTCATAATTAAAACTACCTCAATGCTAGGATTTTTTGCTAAAAAATAAAAAATAATTGGTTTATTTAAGTAGCATTACCTCTCTTCTTTTTTATACGAATAAATCAAAAAAAAAAAGAAAAAAAGAAAGAAAAATTCTCAAAAATGGTTTAAGACTGATTTAAATTCTTAATCTTGCAATTGGAATAATCTTGTGATTATATTTTAGGGTTTAAATCACCCTCCTCAACTCACAATTATAAGATTAATAGACAAAAATTTATTTAAAAACAAAAACCATAGTCCTAATTCTTTACCAATAGTAAAATATTAATAGGTAACTATGAGATGCACGAGAATTTATTTTTAAAATAAAAAATAGACTTTGAGTTTTAATATTTCATGCGTAGAAAATTTGAACAATTGAAAGTTAAATATAAATAAATTTACTAATAGCTGATGAAATTTTTTATCATTGTGTGTGTGATCCTATGTAAAATACTCATAAAAAGAATTTCTTTCAAAAATTAAAAAAAAAATTGTGTACTCTTGAAAAATCTAGAAATTTCTTAGATATTGATTTGTGATTATGTATCAATTTTAAGCAGTAAATAACAATCTCAATCGAATAATCAAGACAAATCAACATAAGGATTTTAACGTGAGAAAATCACAATTGGAGCGCCTCCAATTGTGATAAAAAAAACCATGGGCCAAAACCATAAAACAATCCACTAAGAAGACAAAATGAATTACACAAGTGTACTCTCAATTACCTAGCGAATCACGCCCGAATCAAACTGACCCCTATGTGGCTCTTCTAATCCCGTCTTTACCTTGGAATTGTCTTGCCCAATGTTGAATCCACAACGTCGTCGAATCCATGACGATGAGCTACTCCAGAATTCACCAAAACTTCAGGCCTAAATTCCATGGAATCTACTGAAGAACAACTCTCTATTTTTTTAATAAACCAAACTAAACAAACCCTTTATATAATCTACTCAATTCATGATTAAACTCTCACAGCTACCAAAGGAAACAAGAAAAGACGCTCCAAATGAAAACCCTAATACCCAAAAACAAGATCTGGAAGCTGTAACCCTAAAATCTGATAGAACCACATATTTATAGAAAACAGATCCACGATCTCTAAAGCACTTGTGCCCTTCAAAGCTTTTGGGAAGTGCATTTGAATCCCTTATTTTATTTTGAGAATTTTAGTGTTGTTGTATCTTAGTTTTGAAGGAGTACAAATCAATTTAAACTTGTTGGGATTGTTCGTTCACGCTTGTTTACGTTGAAAAGTTGCTTGGTAACTTAAAAATCTTGTTCTGGGGTCAACATCGGTCTTGGTGGTGTCGACACCTTCCTTTTGTTTTTGGCCTCAAGGATCGACACCAGTCTGGAAGGGTCGACCCTTGTGTGTTGCTAAATCTGGAAGTTGCTTGCTGTTTTTTGGTGTCGACACCAGTCTGGGAAGGGTCGACACCTTGCCTATTGCAGTCTTTGCTTTTCTATCTGAAGGGTCGACACCTGCGTATAATTTTCAGCTTTTTGGGTTGGTTTGGGCCCTATTTCTTGGGGGTTTTTGACTTGTCCTTTTTATTTAACTTTAGGGCAATTATCTACTACTATAAATAGACCCAAACCATTTTCCTCTCATTACTTTTCCTTCTTTTTTCCTCTCAAACCGTGATTTCTCTCTTCTCTCTCTAAAACTTGAATTTTCGCACCTAGATCTCTAGATCTACTCGCCTAGAGTGATCTTTTCACCATGGTTCTTTGAGATTAAGTGTAAATCTTGTCTAGAGCTTCGTTTTGATCCAAGTAGAAGTTGGTTTTGACAACTTTGGAGTTTTAACCTTGTTTTGCTCATCTTCTCTTCTAAACTTGAGGGAGGGATTTTCTTTGAGTTATATATATGTTTTTACAAGATCTAGATGATTTTCAAAATCATCATTTGATTTGTTTTCAGAAGTTTCAGAGTCGCGGCCGTGAGCCCCGCCTCCGGACTTCCGAACCCTCTTCTGTGCCTTGTCTCGGTTTGCGAACCAGACTCGATTTTCTCTGTTTCTTTTCCTGAGGGGAGGGAGAGGTCCCGTAGACCATCATCTCCTCAGTGGCCCGTACTTATATTTTATGGTCCGTAGGCCATTTTTGCATTTGGCGCCCGGTTTCCGTTTTTCAGGACCGTTTGCCGTTGTGCCTCGTTCGGGACCGCTTGACATCTCCATTTGCCTCTGATTTTGGCATACTTTCCTTTTTGCTCCCTTTTGAGGACACTGGGGTCAGAGAAACCCACTTCGTGGCCGAACAGCCACTTTCGGTGCTTAGCAACCAATTGTCGGTGACCCGAACTGCGTGTTTGGCCCCCGGCATTCGTTTTGCATCGTTTTACGTTCATTTTTGGCAGGTGGCACCTGTTTTTATCACCTTAGGAGGTCACTGGAGGTGGGAGGCAGAATTATCTTGGCAACCAGTTATATTCCATTTTCGCCCTCCGACACCCGTTTTTTCTCGCTTCCGAGCCAATGTTGAACACCTTGGGCCACTTTCTTCAACAAGCCACATATTTTGTTTGTATCACACATGGGAGACCCTAAAGTCATGGCCCGGTCACTAATTCCAATTGCCCTTTGAACCCCTCTTCCGAGCCAATGTTGATACACCTTGGGGCCACTTCTTGAACTTCAACCACA